CCCCCCCCCCCGCCACTGTGGCGGGAGGGGAACGGGCCCAGACCCCAAGCAGCAGGAGGGAAGGGGGGAGCGGGCCCAGACTGGGGGGGATACAGGGCTCCATCCCCGCCCGCTCCACCCTGCAGATCATTCTTGATGGGCAATTGACTAGTTCATTTAATAATTTAATTAAATACTGTGACAGGCTTGTGGCCTCCTGAGTTACTGGTTCTCTAAGTAGACCTTGAGCCTACTTAGGGCTCACAGGGCTCAAGGCTAAAATACCATTACAGCTTAAAAAAACAAGAAGCATCACCACCCTCTGGCAGACACCTCAAACCCTCTAGGGGCTTTAACATAAAACAAAGGCCAGTTGGCTGTAAACTCAGTCTTTCTCTGTCCAGGGAACTTGTTCCCAGGCCTCCAGAGTTGTTTAGCTAAATCCAGGTCACTTCAAGAGCTGTGCTGCCAGGAGCCTCCTCACTTTTTGGCTGCCAGGCTCTGGGCTTATATAGCTCCAGCCTGAGCCCTCTTTCAGTCAGGTGAGTCTCTCATTAGCTCCCCTCTACCACCTGCAAGCAGCTGCTCTTAAAGAAGCAGGCATGTCCCAGTGTCTAGCTACTATTACCTTCAAAGTTTATGAGGAACATCAGTGGTTTTATTAATTACATTAATGGCACCAGTGAAGAATGTACAATCTTGACTATGTCCCATAAATTATCGCTGTATGTTTTGGGTGTTTAATTTCTTCCTGTATATGCTGCAGTAAAGATTCCAAACGAAATTTACTTAGATTCTGAATCAGGGGTGGGCAAAATACAGCCTGCCAACCAGATCCAGCCCACCAGGCCATTCTATCCAGCCTGCAAGCCCCCTAAAAATTTTAGAAAATTAATTTTTACCTGCCCCTGGCTACCTGTGAAAGATGACGAGAGCCAGCAGCAGATGACTCGCCCAGTTCCACCCCACCCCATCCCTCTACCTCCTCTCCCATCCTCAGCCTCCAAATGGAACTCTCTCTAGCTTTTGACCTGGTGACCCTTTGGCTGTACCCCATCCTCCTTCTGTCTTAGTGCAAAGTCAGATAAGATCAAACAAGGGAGAGGGGGAAACTACTGCAATCCGCCCAGCATCCAGGAACCACATGGTGCTTGCTGGACTGGGGTGGAGCCACAGCAGGAAGCAACAGTTGCGGGGTGGAGGGAAGCAGTGGTGGTGCAGAGGCTGCAGAAAGTGGCAGCAGCATGGGGAGTGGCAGGGGGAGTAGTGTGGGAGGGCTGCAGAAAGTGGTGGCAACATGGGGAGCGGCGGGGAACTGCAGAAAGCAGCAGCAGTGTGGAGAGTGATGGGGGGTCATGGGAAGCAGAAGTGGTGTGGGAGTTGCAGCGGGCATGGGGAGTGGCAGCAGTGGTAGCTGTGAAGCAGCGGCAGCAGTGATGGGCAGGCACACATGTGGAAGGGAAAGCAGAGAAACAGCAGGGGAATAGTGGTGGTGGGCGGGAGCGCGGAGCCCATGCTGGTGCCTTGGGGCCAGTAGGGACCCAGGGTAGGTTGGCAGGAGCATGGAGCCTGGGTGCAGGGTCTGTCTGGCTGCATTGTTTTGGACTTGGATGCAGTTCATGAGAGCTGCATGCGATGGAGCTAGCAGCCCAGCCCCGTGTCTCTCCCACCCCAACCACCATAACCCCAGACCCTCCCACAGCCCCTGCCCCAACCACTTACCCCACACCCATCCACATGCACCCATCATACCCACACCCCATCACACATACCCACTCCCCAACCACACCCCCCCGTATACACCCCCTTACTGCCCACATATAATATACAGCAGGACTGTATTTTGAGTTATTATGCCATCACCTCTTGATACACTTTGCAAACATATAAATCAGTACAAAATATTTTTAAATAAAATTAAAATAAGTTATAATAGATGTTTTGTTTTTTGTATATAATTTGGGGTTTTTTCCAGTTTCAAGATTGCAGCATCCTCTCTCCTAAAAGGAGTATTTCCAGGACACAGGGAGGGATTTCCGGTGGCAAAGGCCATGGGTTAGGGGGTCAGGACTTCTGGCCCCAATATGGCGACTGGGGGTGGGGCAACCCATGCGGCCCTCAATAGCTCACCAAAATTTGGTAAGTGGCCCTCCATTCAATATAATTGCCCACCCCTGTTCTAAATGTATTCCAAACTAGATGAAATGTCAAAATGTTTTTAATAATAGGACCTTATTTACAAATATATATATTAGAATGGTAAAGTGTATATTAACCTGTATTTTAGTAAGGATATTTACTATATATTACTTTAGATTAGTTGGACATCAAAATAATAACATATAAGAGCCTTTATTTTATTTAAACAGAATTCTAGGATACTTAGCAAGCACTTCTGGAATTTGGGACAGGAGCCTGTTGTTGAAACCCATTTGAGAAATACCAAATACTTTGCTGATGAATTTACAGACTTGGGGTATAGTATTTTGTTTAAATATATTTTTAAATAGAATTCCATTAAAATTATTTGATGCTTAAGACTGAAAGAAAACCCTGCTGATGGGCATAATGTAAATATCTAGATATAGCTACGTGTAGATGTGTGGAATCTGGAACACATTCATTTAATGGCACAATGGGTTCTGTCATAGATTCATGGAATCATAGAAATGTAGGGTTAAAAGGGAACTCAGGAGGTCACATAGTCCAACCCCCTGCTTGAAGCAGGACCATCCCCAACCAGATCATCCCAGCCAAGGCTTTGTCTATCTGGGTCTTAAAAACCTTCCAAGGATAGAGATTCCTCAACCTCTCTGGGAAACCCATTCCAGTGGTTTACTACCCTCCCAGTCAGAGAGTTTTTTTCTGATAGCTAACCTAAACTTCCCTTGCTGCAACTTGAGACTCTTGCTCCCTGTTCTGTCATCTGCCACCACTGAGAACAGTCTAGCTCCATCCTCTTTGTAACCAGGTAGTTGAAGGCTGCTATTATATTGCATCTCTGTCCTTTCTTCTCCAGACTAAATAAGTCCAGTTCCCTCAGTCTCTCTTCAGAAGTCATGTTCCCAGTCCCCTAACCATTTTTGTTGACCTCCACTGGACTGTCTCCAGTTTGTCCACATCCTTTCTGTAGTGGGGGCCTAAAACTGGACACGGGACTCCAGAAGTGGCTTCAATAGAGCCAAACAGAGAGGAAGAATCACTTCTCACCATCTGCTAACCTATTTAACAATTTCTTTGCCTCCATTTTTCTGAGCAGGGACCGGGTCACACCCCCCCCACCACAACTCCCGTAGGTCCCAGGGGAGGCGCACCCAAGCCTAGAGTCAGGGAACCTAGTCAGGGAACTTCTGGAGGGACTGGACGTATTTAAATCAGCAGGTCCTGACGATCTCCACCCAATAGTGCTGCGGGAATTAGCAAAGGTCATTGCGGGACCCCTGGCACAGCTTTACGAGCACTCGTGGTGCTCTGGCATAGTGCCAGAGGACTGGAAAAGAGCCAATGTGATTCCCATATTCAAAAAAGGGAGGAAGGAGGACCCAGGAAACTATAGGCCAGTCAGTCTTACCTCAGTCCTGGGTAAGCTTTTTGAGAGAGTTATCCTGGCGCATGTCCATGAGGGGCCAGCAGGGGAGATTATGCTTAGGGGCAACCAACACGGGTTCACTAGAGGCAGGTTCTGTCAGACCAACCTGGTGGCCTTCTATGACCAGGTCACAAAATCCTTGGACTCAGGTGTCGCGGTAGACATAGTCTTTCTGGACTTTCGGAAGGCCTTCAACACTGTCTCTCCCCCCATTGTCATTAAAAAACTAGGGGATTGTGGTGTCGATGCCTACACAGTCAGATGGGTTGCCAATTGACTGGAGAGCCGCACCCAGAGAGTGGTGGTGCACGGGTCATTTTCGACCTGGAGGGATGTGGGCAGTGGGGTCCCCCAGGGCTCGGTCCTCAGGCCTGCACTGTTCAACATCTTCATCAGTGACTTGGACGAGGGGGTGAAAAGCACCTCATTCAAATTCACAGATGACACTAAGATGTGGGGAGAAGTGGGCATGCTAGAAGGGAGGGACAGGCTGCAATTGGATCTGGACAGGTTACAGAGGTGGGCGGATGATAACAGGATGAGATTCAACACTGACAAGTGCAGGGTACTGCACCTGGGGAGGAAGAACCAGCAGCATACCTACAGGCTGGGGAACTCCCTTCTCATCAGTGCAGAGGCAGAAAAGGATCTTGGAGTCGTTATAGACTCCATGATGAACATGGGCCACCTATGTGGGGATACAGTCAGGAAAGCTAACCGTACCTTGTCATGCATCCACAGATGCATCACGAGCAGGTCCAGGGAGG